TGGGGTGTATGTGTGTGGGGTGTATGTGTGTGGGGTGTATGTGTGTGGGGTTTTATGTGTGTGGGGTGTATGTGTGTGGGGTGTATGTGTGTGGGGTGTATGTGTGTGGGGTGTATGTGTGTGGGGTTGTATGTGTGTGGGGGTATGTGTGTGGGGTGTATGTGTGGGGGGTGTATGTGGTGTGGGGGTGGGTGGGGGGTAGTGCTGCAAGATAGTAACAGATAGGAGGGAAAATTCTGAGTCAAGGCAGAATGTATCAGTCATGAGGTATGGTCTGCCAGTGACACGTTTTGTCTTACCACAGAGAATTTCCCCTCCTCCCCGTTGCTGTATAGCAACATTGCATAGCTTCTGACAATGCACAAGTGCAACAGATCTTGAGCTAACGATTTCCATTCCCATGTGGCTTGTTCTGCATATGTACGTGTGCGTGCACACATGCAATACAACTGCAAACAGGCAATCTTAACAATGCAAGATAAACCACAGGGGGATGGAAATCTTCGGCTCAAAATCTTTCACACATCTTGTGCATCATCAGAAGCTATGCAATGCTGCAAGAATTGCAACAGGTGGACTGACAAAGTTTTCTCAGTAGGAAGGTAGTGTGTCAATGCTGGCCTGTTCCGACTTAGAAATGGTGGTCACGGCAACTGTGGCCCGGTGGCCTGGTGGCTAAAGCTCCCGTTTCATACACGGAGGGCCCGGGTTCGATTCCCGGCGGGTGGAAACATTTCGACACGTTTCCTTACACCTGTTGTCCTGTTCACCTAGCAGTAAATAGGTACCTGGGTGTTAGTCAACTGGTGTGGGTCGCATCCTGGGGGACAAGATTAAGGACCCCAATGGAAATAAGTTACAGTCCTCGATGACGCACTGACTTTCTTGGGTTATCCTGGGTGGCTAATCCTCCGGGGTTAAAAATCCGAACGAAATCTTATCTTTTCTTATCTCTTAATGTCCGTCACCCATTCATCTTGTCCCCTCAACCCCTATCTCCATGGGGGGGGTTAAGAAGTTAAATATCTGTTCACTTTTCCATTTATTCTTTTTGCATGTATTTTGTGCGTTATGCCATGGTCACACGTATCGAAGGTTTCTACAAAATCAGTGTACACTACATCAGCAGTTAGCATTTCTTTGAGTGAATCAAGGACCAAGTTGTAATCGTCTAGCAACTGTCAAAGGCAGAAGCAACCTGCTCTTTACCCCATGCTGCCCCGGGTTGTGCGATTGTTGCAATTCCATGTGACTGGCAATCTTGTTTCTTTTTTATTTTCTGGATCCCATCTTCAACTACACACAATATTACAAGGTTTCTCAGCCCGTGTGATAAGATGACCCATCATTCATTTTAGTTTTGTCCAGCTCACAGTGACCATGGGAGCCACTGCCCACTGTATAATAAGGAATGCTGCAGTAATGGGTTCTTTGACCATTATGCAACAATTCTACTGAAAATTACTCCCTCTGCATAAAGTTAGTGGCAGGTTTTTGTGGAGTGTATTACAATTACAACTGGCATGATAAATGTATAAAGTAACCACAGTGAAAACTATAGTATAATAACAGTTAAAGAAAAAGTACCAAGGCTTCAAAGGAGAAAAGAAAAAAAAATTTACCAACATTTACATGGAAATTCAGGAAGGTCCTCTAGATGGTCCCTAATTAACTAGGCTGTGGTATATATGTTAAAAACCTTAAAATACATGTACCAATCAATAGCTTGGCTGGCCAAGAAATCAACTAAAAGACAATGATCCCTAGAACCATCATTAACTAAATATTTTAAACCTTTTGTAAAATTAAATTGCTGAACTGTACTAAATATAAGTTTATATTCAATGTACGAACTCTGAACATTCCTACTTATAATTTTTCATGTCTAGAACTTACCACTTTGGGTGACATGTTTGAGGACATGTACCAGGTGGGTGAGTTTCTTCGGGAGTTCTGGGTCACAAATGTTACCCTCGCAGGTGAGAACTGCCTCAATCAGCTCTCCTCTCCCACCACCACACCTGCCACCCCCATCACTATCCCCATCCATGTCTGTAAAGTAAGAGAGAAATACATTATTGATGAAATTTATACTGATATAGTATACTGTATTTTCTTTTTAACACGCTGGCCATCTCTCACCCAGGTAGCATATACCTTTGATGAGTTCCGAGAGTTTTTCCACTCTCAGAGCCCAGCCATGAGCCAGGTTCATCTGGTACTTTCCAGGTCAACCAGACTGTTGCTGTTAGTTGCCCCCCCCCCAAAAAAAAAATACAAAATCACTATCAATCACTCATGTCTTGCCAAATGCACACCAACATTACAGCTCAGATGCCCCTCCAAACTGTAATATCCCCACCTATCCTTCAGAGTACAGGCACAAATTCCCAGATCCAGACTCAAGTTTGGCTAACTGGTTTCCCTAAATTCCTTCATAAATGTTAACCTGCTCATACACTGACATGTCAAGTCATAAAAACCACCTACATCTTACACCTACTTGGTGTGTATACTGTCAATAGACAAGCCTTCATTATTAAATATTGTAATCGCAAAATCCATTCGGGCACAACATGATTTCTTTCCACTCAAACTACAGAGAAAGCTGCCCCCCCCCCTTCATTTTTTCTTTTTTTCTTTTTTTTTTGCCCCAGATTACTGCACACACATTTCAACAAAATAATATTAAAGTATAAAAATGATAACTGTCAAGACTTCTCATAAAGGTATAATAATGTCATACAACTCATGATGTTCAAATAAACACTGACATTTTTAATAGTTCTTACATTGCGAACCATTAAAGAAAATAAAAAGAACAGAGGATAATGCTGCACTGCAGGCCTACCAGTTCTTACCAGGCAGATCCAACTGACACCCACTCATCAATCTGTCCAACATATTTACTGATTCTAGTAGCAACTGTTTATTTTTAAATAGTTCTACTGGGGAATGCCATTAAATACCAGAATGGACTTTCCTAACATGCACTCTTACACCTGCCTTACCATACAAATGAATTGATGGATTCATTATGTGGTTGCAGGTTTCATGTCTTAGCTTCTGGCCTTGTCTCTCAACTTGCCGCTTGCAAGATCACTCCCTCTTAGCCTCATCAGCCTTATACCTGTTCTTAAAGCTATGTATGGAGCCTTTCTCAAACACTTTACCGAGATCATTCCACTTTCCAACCACCCTGAGACTGATGAAATACTTCCTGACATTCTTGTGGCTCCTCTGTGGTTTTTAACTTCCAGTTGTGTCCCCGAGTTCCCATTTCTAGCCTCTCAAAAAGGCCTGTCCCCTGTCTACCCTATCAATTACCCCCTGAGTATTTTGTACATTATACCTCCCCTGGTTCTTCTATCCTCCAATGCCATTATATTCAATTCATTAGTCTCTCATCACAGTTCATGCAACTTTACTCAGGAACAAGCTTTGTGACAAAAAATATCTGCACTTTCTCCAGTTTCTTAACATGCTTCCTCAGGTGTGGGTTCAATACTGGTGCTGTATACTCCAAGATGGGCCTGACATAAGTTGTATAAAGTTCCCAGAAAAGCTGTCAAGATTTCTGAAGGCCACTCTTAGATTTCCTAGGCAAGCACTGGCTGCAGAGGTTATTTGGTTGATGTGAGCCTCTAGCAAAATGCTGGGAACTATACTCACCCCTAGGTCTTTCTCTCTAAATGAAGTCTGTAACCAATGTCCCCCAAGACCATACAGTACCCGCAAAAATAATCCAGACCTCCTTTTTATCACTATGAAAATTTTTAACCCTTTCAGGGTTGAGAGGTCCTCTCCTAAACGTTATCAGGGTCAAAAAAAAAAAAATCAGATCATAATGACACCAAAAGTATGAAATTTGATGGAAAACTCACTGAATTATGCTCTTGCGAAGTTAGCGGTCTCGACGATGTTTACGCATTGGCGATTTTGCCCACTTTGAACCCTATTTTCGGCCAATTCCAATGTACCAGTCGACAAAAATCATAACTATTTCGCTAGAACTCCACTTTTTCTATCAAATGAGTACAAGAAACCACCCATTTACCAATTTCAACTGTCCAATAAAGTGGTCAGAAATTGGCAATTTTGCCAACTTCACAAATTTCAAAAGATGCCAATTTCCAAATAAGGTCCAGAATAAACAAGACAGACATTCCTGGCACTAAAATAACATTTTCTCTGTGCATTAGTCACGTCCCCACGCCCCTCTTACATTTCTTTTGCTTTCCACTTTGAATTTTTATTCTCACAAAAAAAATAGAAGATTTACTGTTATGCAGACTACTGTATTAGTGTAGAAATGGTATAAATAATATCAGCGCACTTGTAAAAGAGTATTAGACTCACCAGTTGATGTGTATTGGACGCATGGCATGATTTGTTTACTTTTGAACTTTGGCAAAAATCGATCATTTCTGCTACTTTAAGCTCAATATCAAGGTACTTTTCATTGTGAAACCAATGAAAATCATCTCAATTTTTGTAATATGTCTTCCATTCTATAAAATGAGACCAGGAAAACTGCAAAATCACCATTTTAAACCAAAAACATGGTCGGAGCTTTTTTTTTCTCATTATGCACTGTGTGCTGCAGAATTTATTTTATACTGTGCACACTGACCACATAGACCTATTCTTTCATATGTAGGCCTACCAACTTTCTCTCGCTAGATTTGAAGGCGCTATAATTTACACGTACTAGTACAGCACCAACCCTGGCGTGCAAGCCATACTAGTACGGCACCAACCCTGAAAGGGTTAAAAAGCAACAATATAAACATAGAACAAAAACTAATACAGTAGTCCCCCAGTAACCATAGAGGATACAGTCCAAGCCCTACCACAGATAGTGAGGAACCTTATATATGTCGTTTTTTTTTTTTGTTTGTTTACATACTTACGATGTGGTTTAATTGATAAATTATGCACAGTAAGTCGAAAATTAGAATTTTTCACTGATGGGAAGCACTTCACATCTTCTCTTAGGATTTGAAGAACTGCCTGCATCACTACTTTTGCACTTTAGTGCCATTATGTATTAAGCAAAATTAAGGCTTATTCTTGAGCCACATTCAAGGTTGTCAAAACAATATGAGGCACCCCTCCTCTATCAGCATATATGACACTGCATACATCATGAGCACTGTACAGCACGCACAATCCGTCAAGGTTTGGGGTTCCTTTAGTGGTTGTCAGGGTCTGTACTTATTTTCTCAAAATGTTACAATGAATGACAACCACTACATCATCATTCTCAAGGACCATCTACTGAATATTTTCAAAATTCACAGCTGCACCACCATTATGCACAATAGCACCCCCTGTAACAAGGCCAAAAATAAACAAATAACAAAGTGGCTTGCTGAGAAAAGTGTTGAAGCTTTAAAATGGGGTATTGTATCAAGTGCCTTCTTGCAGTCTTAAGAAAATACAGCCATCCAGCCCTCTCTCGCCTGTCTCACTTCCATTACTTGTGATAGAGTTCCAACAGGTCAGTAAGACAAGACTTACCATCTCTGAACCTGTGATGGTTACTGTTTATGAAACCACTTCTCTCCCAGTGCTCTAACACTCCCCTTATGACTATCTTCTCCATTACCTTGCAAGGTATGCTTGTCAGCAAAACTGGCCTGTGGTTCAATGCTTCCTACCTGTCTCCTTTCTTGAATGCAGCTAGGTGCTGTATTTGTTGTCTTCCACATCTCTGGCAACTGTTTCATGCTCATTAACTCATAGCTCTTAGCCAGAGGTTCGGACAATGTGTTTGCTCCAAGCAGAATCCACGCGACACCTTGTCAGGTCCCACTGCCTTTGATGTATCCAGATTCATCAAACTTTTTTTTTTTTTGTCTCTTTCTGTTAAGTGTGTACAATGTCCAGTACCTGTTGGTATACCCTTTTCTCTAGGCTTTCTGGTATTGCCCATTTTCAATGAGACGACCTCCTTGAATTGTTTTGTTCAACACTTCCATAAGCTCTCCTTCCTTCACAAGTCAAATTTCCCACCCTTTTATTGTTGTCTTTCTTCAGGTATGGCAATGAAGCAGTTCTGGTTCAGACTTGGCCTTACCTGCTATACTGTTCTTGAATTGTCTCTCGAGTATCTCTCCTTACCTTTACAAATTCACTTCTGGTTAATCTGCTCATTTCTGTTTTTCTCTGTCCTTTGCTTCCTTCAGTTTTTTCGCACTTTTATGTTTCTCTATCTTTTTTTTTTTTTTTTGGGTGCCTTTCTGCATCTGTGGTTAAACAGCGAAGAAATTTTTGTCTTCATTACTGTATTTCCCATTCACTGTTAGGGCATGAAGTTGTGCTCTGCCTCCCATCCAGGCACTTTCCAGCTACGTACTCTATCTCATCCAGTTCCCTTTCCCACTGCAATGCATTCAAGAATTCCCTCATCATTCTTGTGCCCTCCATTTGCCATTCTTCCCTCTGTTTAGTTCCACAAGGTACTCAAGTTCAGCACTGCATGGTCACTGGCACCCATATTCTATTTCTCCTATGTCTGACATGCCTGCACCTCATATCCTATTTCTCCTATGTCTGACATGCCTGCAGAGTTTTCCATGACCACTTTCATCAACTTAGCTCTCCACATTTCCAGTTTCCCACATGGGTCCCTATTTTCCCAATATATTTCTTTGTGATTAAGAGCACCCACATTGAGTAGTTTTGCTTTAGCCCTGTAGGCACTCATACCTGTTTCAGCTATGACAGCAACTACTGCCTTATCTTGCACCATGTGTGAAATAAAAACAGAGTTGAAGGCAATCACTTAAAGGTTGCCACTGGGAATAAATTATTAATAGTAGAAAGAGTATTATTATTATTATTATTAATACCCATGTACATGTTATAAGCTTACATCAACCAAACTGCAGTTTGTGACTCCCTATTCCCATTACTTGCTGTAAATGATGCTGAGATCTGAGTGTAATATGGCTGTGTACGAGGCCAGACACACATGCACACATTATTAACAAAAGGATAAAATATATGAACAAACTGCTGACCATTTCACTGTCACAACCCCTGAA